TGTTGCACTGGCTGAGGTGAAGCTAACCCTTGAGGGATTTCCCTAGTTAATTTGTAGTTATCAGGAGAAGTGGAGAAGAGCCCATCAAATGGAGGTCACACACTGGTACCTGGTGAGTGGGTACTGATCAAGAAACCCCACTTAGCCCCAAGCGAAGGAATGACATTGGGGAAACATCAGAACTTCAGATTTCTGTGGCAAAGCTAATAGCAGCCATATCTGTTAAAAGGCCTTGTAGGTCGTCACAAACCTTGTTGTAAAGCTCCAGTAGACAGCGAAATCCTGTATTCTCCACCACAGCGATGGGCTGGTCATCCAAAGCGATGAATTCAGTTACTCTCTCTGTAATTATTTTTGGCTTTGTCATTTCTCAAGGAAATTAAAAAAAAATAAAAAATCCTCCAGTGTTTGTTGCTTCGGTGCAGCATTTGCCTGAGTTAACCGTGTGAACTCATGGTACTCCAGTAAATGTTTATTTTTTAGGTGCTGTATGAAATTGGTGGTATTAAACATAGCTCTGTTATTACTGCTTGGTGACCCCCTGTCAATTGTCAATTTTAAATATCTCCACACTGTATTTTAGCCTCCACATGTTCTTTCTCCATTTGTTCACAGAGGCGTGGGGCATGGTGCCGGCGGGGAAAAGAGGCGACTCTGAGACACAAAGGGGTTTATTACAGAAACTAAAAAAAATGGATAAAACTACAAACAGAAGGCCCATGAAGGGTCAGAACAAAACAAGGGTAAACTGCTACTTATAGAACCATAAATCATCTACAAAGGGAAACCAGTAATACAGAGACCAGGCAGCATGACAAACATAACACACAGGAACATGAACATTCAACACAATGACCAATTAAAGAACTGAACTAAGGCAGGAACATAAGTATACAAACCGAACCAGGTAACGAAGCAGGAGGAGTGAGACACGAAACAATTAACCAATCAGGGAGGGTGCAGGACAAGGAGCAATCAGGTAGAATATGCAAGAACTGGTGCAAGAAAACAGACAACAGGTGAAACTAATAATTAAATCAAGGAACTATGAGACCAACAGGGAAACTAAGAAACAGAAGACTATACCAAAGATAAGTAATACATAATCACAAACACAGGCACCTACCAAAATGCAATACAAAAAAGCAAACCACAAAACTCCTGAAGTAGAAAAACTAATACAATGGAAACAGTAGGGAACACAATCTACTAAAGACAAAAACAGAGGGGGCTGGATTTGAACACACAACTACTGGGTTTGGTAACTGTATGCTCAGACCCTAAAGCCATGTAGCAGTTCAGGAAGCAAAGGAAACACACTACAGCCTTGAACAACAGAGAGGACAGGATGGCCAGCGACACCTGCTGGCCAAATGGGGAGGAGGCACGAAAGGCTGGGACAGTTGAGGCAGAGGAGGGAGACAAGGAGGGACGTGGAGGAAGCAGGTAGATAAACAGAAGTTATCACGTAAGTTATAATTTATTTTTATACAGAAAGTATTAAAGTTAGAGATCCAAATGTAATTATTTCTGAGGCTTCTGAAGTCCCCCCATACAGGCAGGGCCCTGGTTTGTCAGGTCCAACATTACCTGTGGTCTGACGCCTCTGTTCAGATGTATATAGATTATTTATTTCTACTGTCATTGCAACAATAACAAGAAATGACATTTGAATCTATACACAACCAGTCTTCTAATCATACATCATTATGATTCTGGAGTGCTGAAGATCAAGAGTAGGGGTTTCAACTCTAATTCTACAGAACACAGGAAGCAAAAACGTTATCTGCACAGTTACAATTTATACATTTTGACAATTTCTGCAGGTACTGTGTTCGTGGACCAGCCTGACTTTTGGTGCAGATGAAGTTAAGTTTCTCAGTCTCAGGCAGGCTGACCCAGTAATGTGGGTTTTTAGATTTTACTGCCCCTGTGTTTCCACACAAGTCACTGTTGGATATGTTGTTTGGGGCCCAGTTCTTGTAGCAGACATTTTCTGCGCTGACCCAGAACCAGAAGTTCAGGGAGCAGGAGAAGCGCAGCCCCAGCCAGACATGATCAGTGGAGGCCTTCTCAGCCATCCTACTGACCCAGTACTGGATCTCCTCATTGTGGACAGACGCCAGATCCAAATGGTGCGTTCTGCAGTAATTCAGGGCTTCATTCCAGGTCATGTTATTATTTACCAAGATCAGGTTATCTGGGCCAGAAGGTAAGATGATTGTCAGAAAGTGGGTTCAGGAGAAAGCAATGCAACTGTGCAGTGTTATGTGTAGTTATAATACTATAATATAACTTATTATAGTATATTTTTAATGTAATGTCAAATAAAATTGTTAGATAAAGGTGATAATCAGCCACTGCTCACAAATAAGATATAGAACTCACCATCATAGCATACGAATGGATGCTTTTTATCACATGGTGTTATAGTCCATGTCCCATTCAAACTGACCTGTGCTAATGCACATGCCTTATTCTCATCATTCTCATGATTCTCATTATTTTTACCAATGTTCCAGTTACGGAATGAGGAGTTTGACAGGTCTGACCATCCCCATGTATCCCGGAACAGGCCAATCCATGGCCTAGTGTGTTTCTGAAACATTGCATGTATCAAGTCATTATCTTCTTTATTCCTCACAGTGGCCAGGTCTGTGTAACTGTGTCTGCAGTAGTTCTGAGCAGCAGACCAATTCATACATTGGTCAATCAAGGTGAAGTTCCAGGTAGCATTTATTCCGTCTTTATAGGCAAGATCTGTGGATTTGTTGTAAACAGCACAAGAAACAACAATACACCTAGAAGAATACCCCAGTACAATACAGGCAGAAAGGCAAGAAACGAGGAGGCTTGTCTTCAAGGGGAAACAATGCCCTTTCAATAAGCCCTTAAAAAGGCTAACACGGGCGTCAAACACCCGCTGAACACACATAACCGGGAAATACAGTACAGAGGTAGGCGGAATCTTGGGAACTTGCATAATTGCGCACGCTGGGTCACGTGGTATTGGTAGTAATTTGCAGTATCACTTGTTCATTTGTCTTGTGAAAGCGGCAGTGAGTGGGTGATGGGGGTAGCCTACTTTTTGCTGACCGCAACTGTGACCACGAATATAAACGCGACCGTAAAGGCGAATGCAATGCACTGTCCGTGAATGTGTTTTTGCTATGATGGATTATTGCCTTGGAAACCTGTGTATTTTGTAAGACTTTTATAAGACTGCAGAAGGAAAACTGATTGAAGATGGTCACACTGTCTGCAGAACATGCAGAAGGAAATGTCTATGAAGGAGGGCAACATGCCTATCCTTACAAATCATCTTCGTAACCACCACTCTTTACCTTATAGTGAATGCAATGTAACTTTTAGCTCAGTGCATGATGTGGGGACTTTGAAATGGGGGAAAATGTTATGGTAATGGTTCATCAGTAATGTAAACTGAATCTTATAGTGTTATCTAGACTTGTAAAAACATTGCATGTTGTCATTGGTGTAATGGAGCCAGCAAGTTTTGCAAATGTGTTATTAAGAATGAATTCTGTTTAAGTTTGTATTTGCATATTCTTGAAACTTCAAATCAGTTTATTTCCTTTATCTGTATAGTGTCCTATGGCGGAGTATTAGGGCCACATTGAGGGGGAAAAAATCTGAGATAATAATAATAAAGTCATAGTTTTGGGCTACGTGCTATTTTAGAGGGGAGATATAAGAATAGCCAGTTTCAGAACAGAAGTATAGAGGTGGGAACAAACCAGAGTCAATGATAGCAGACTGCATGGTGTTTGTTTTATTATTATGTACATTTTTTATTTTTTTTTTTAAACAAAAAACCTTTGGTTATTTTATTTTGTTGGCTACTATATTAATATTTAATTTTTTAAAGTGCATGGTGCTGCTAATTTTATTTGTGGTTTTCACAAACCTGGTGAAATTATTTCAATTTGTGTATTGGTACTTTTGAACACTTTCCGCCCATTTTAACAACACCGTGATAATACTGATAACGATGATAATTTGGGTCACGATAACGCTGATATTAAATTTTCATACCATTTCATGTCTAGTCCAAACCCACTGAGCCACACATCACCACTGCTGAAATAAATCTCACTTTTTAACTTTTCAGTTGACATATTTCATGATTCAAGTTTTTTTTTCCTTTTAAACAAATCTAAAACCTAACTGCACATGTGAGAATGTTTATTATTATGCTGGATTGTATACATTAAATGGCATGTTGCATTTGTCAGAAAAAATCTGGTTAATCTTACTCACCAATATAACAGATGAAATACCTCTTCTCTGAACACGGAGCATCATTCCATACACCACAGTCCTGCATCTCAGTACAGTGCTGATTATTATTCTGGTTATTTTCATTCAATGTTTTTTCATTCCAGTTGGTGTACCCAGTGCCGCCTCCTCCTGAGGACCACTGCCATCTCCACAATCTTCCTTTCTTCAGTCCTATCCAAGCCTCTCCAGTATAACCAGTGCCTACAGACTCAGTTAGTCTTTTCATTTCC